CATATGCTGAGTTCTCATTACATGGTTATTTCTACTGCTAACGAAGTCTTTGGAGAATATTTTCCAAGCCACTTTTTCAGAATGGAAGCCAACATTGGAACCTTATCTACAGTGTTGAGTATTTGTGAATGCTTTAATAATATAATATAATATATATAAATTTTAAAAAAAGGGAGGGGGGCTAACTTCACTACTCTTTAGTAAGAATATATTTCTTACTAGTATCTTATTGCCTACCATATCACATTTCTACTTCCTTTCACCTTGCACCATATTGTCTCATGTTGAATGTCTGATCTAGTGTTATGATCCAATATTTAACCCAAAGTCTTTCCTACTGTACATCAAACAAAAGAGGCCCTTCCTCACACTATTCCTGTTGCTTTCTGCATATCCTCTATCCTGCCATGAAAATATCCTCAATGGACTGTGATGTCAAACTACTCTTCCCACCTAATAAAATTTTTTTAGCCCAAACACTGATAATAAGAACCATATGACCATTAATACTGTTATGTTTACTTGCTTAACCAAGAGGTTTGATAACCGATCACTATAAAATTTCACATAGTAAGTAGCAGTCACAAAGGAAATCCAGTGCAAAGTTTGATTTTTCTATGTTACCATGCATTAACAATTACCATTTGAAACAGACACTAAAAAAAGTGTTTTGAAATATTATGCACTAGAGATGGTACTATATATACATAAAATGCATTATTTTATAAAAACTTTCATTTTTCTATAAAATAGAGTTAAATAGTAACGCTTGCTTTATTAACAATGTGGTTAGTTGGGCAGTATGAGAGTTTATGAACTATGCGATCCTTATATGTGCCTTATGTGAACATATTGCCAACTTTTGTGGTTTTAAAGCAAGTGTCATATTTGGTGTGTTTCCTGAAAGTCCCAGCTCCGGGAGTTGTGTGAATGTGTGACAATCTCAGCTTTCATTAAAATAAAGTAAGTTTCTAGCCCTCCTGGTAGTGTAGAAAAGCTTGAAAATGTAACTTGAGTGCACCCTAAAAGTTCAAAGAAAAATCAGAAGGCAAATAAATTCCTAATAAATCATTAGGGGGGAGGGGGGCCACGCACTAACAATTTTGGAATGCTTAAAAGTTGTCAATACAGAAATGTAAATATTAACATCAAATCAGGTTTTACCTTGTTAACTTGTTACTGTGGAAAGGGATCTGGGGATCACAGTGGATCACAAACTAAATGAGTCAACAGTGTAATACTATTGCAAAAAAAAACCACAAACATCATTCTGAGATGTATTAGTAGGAGTGTTGTAAGCAAGACATGAGAAGCAATTCATCAAACTCTACTCCACAATGATTAGGCCTCAAGTGGAGTACTGTGTCTAGTTCGGGGCGCCACATTTCAGGAAAGATGTGGACAAATTAGAGAAAGTCCAGAGAAGAGCAACAAAAATGATTATAAGTCTAGAAAACATGACCTATGAGTAATATTGAAAAAATTGGGCTTGTTTAGTCTGTAGAAAAGAAGGCTGAGGGGGAACATAACAGTTTTCAAGTACATATAAGGTTGTTACAAGGAGGAGGGATAAAAATTGTTTTCTTTAACTGCTGAGGATCGGACAAGAAGCAATGGGCTTAAATTGCAGCAAGGGTGGTCTAGGTTGGACGTTAGGAAAAACTTCCTAACTATCAGGGTAATTAAGCACTGGAATAAATTGCCTACAGAGGTTTTAGAATCTCCATCATTGGAAATTTTTAAGAGCAAGTTAGACAAATTCCTGTCAGGGATGGTCTAGACAACACTTAGTCCTGCCCTGAATGCAGGAGACTGGACTAGAAGGTCTCGAGGTCCCTTCCAGTCCTATGATTCTATGAAAATAATGAACCCATAACTGTATATATTTTAAAACACTTGCTTAAAATATTTTTCAGAGGTTAGCGTCTGAGGTTATTTACAAAGGGCCCATGCCCTAACAAAATTATAATGCTGATACTTAGAACAAAGACAGTTTGTTTCATTTTACAAAGCACATACAGTGGAATTAATGTATATTTATGTTTTATACCATGCACATTTTATTAAATCTGAATCTGTAAGTATTTGGAAATAGGTTTGCTCAATTTATTCTTTATATAATCGCTCAAAGGTTTCCTATATTTGCAAGTCTTTTTGTGCAAAATCTCTAATAAGACTGTTTGTCTCAGAAATATTTCTAGATTACTGTGGAGATAGAGGACTTCAAGTGAATGAAGCAACAAGCATTAGTAGACATATGCCGATATGAGAAAAATGGAGTACTTTAAGTTTGACGTGAGAGGACAGAGCAAGTCATCAAATCCATACATTTGTCTAACAAAACCAGACGGCATTCAGTTTCAACTCCAATTGAAAGCAAAAGTTTGATCTAATTATGAAGAAGCTTCTGCATGTTGTACTGAACATATAGCTTTAGGTTCAGCTTTCAGCAAGCTCTTAATAAATCAACCATTCAAGATTAATCTCTCTCTCTCTCTCTCTCTCTCACACACATTCACTGGCTGAGAGTCAGTATTGGCAAGAGACTAAAGGCTTGAACCAGCAAAGGGCAAAGTGCCTCCCTGTGGAATACTGAACGCCCTCCTCTGGAAGAATGGAGGGCACTCAACAGCTTGCAGTCCCAGGCCCTATTAAACCATTAAATGTTTGTCTGTTTAAAAACGTGAATACTGAAAGGAGATTCATAGTATTCAACTTCAAGAATCACCACAACACATTATCCAGGTACTATGGTGCTCCATCACAATCACTATAGTATCGGAGTGCCTTGCAACCTTTAACATATTTATCCGCACACCACCCCTGTCAGATAAAGCAACTACAAGTTATCCCAATTTTTACAGAGAGTAAATTAATTTAAGACAGGGTGAAACTCTGGCCCCACCGTAAAGTTTTGCCAGTGATTTCAAAGAGCCCAGATTTCACTGAGAGGGTCACACAAGAAGTATGTGGTAGACCTGGGAACAACCCGGGTCTTCCAAATTCCAATCCAGTATCTCAGCCACAAAACCATCCTTCTTCTTACGTACATATTCTGCATTTCCTTCGAGTCAATGCTGCTGAACTACAGTGTGTATGTAAACAGAAGCCATCTCTCAGTGTATAGATTGTACCACTATACAACCCAGTTCATTTAGTGACACTACAATATAGTGCTAGTGACACGGATATAAGCACTTCCACAATGATGAATTGTAATGTAGCAAGCACTGAGATTTTGTCATATATGAACAAATGAGTCAGGAGGAGCAGCAAGCAGGCAAGGATGAAAGGAGAAAGTTTTAATTTACACACAAATACTGTGGTGATCACCAAAAATAATAAAGGAATGCAGAAAAACAGGACAGTTTAATGAGGTTTTGGAAGCATTTGCAAAGGTTTCCTTGAGTGTAGCAGTATTTTTAATTTAGAGGAATTCCATTCTTGTCTAGTATGTTAGCTGAATTATCAGGATTAAAAAGAAAACCTTAGAAAATAAAGTGATCTACGAATTACAAAACATATATTTTATGCAGTTTCTCTTAATGACATTTATCGTAGGAAAGTTAATGGGGAATAAAAAGCATTAATGGTGAAATAAAAAGATAAGAATTAGGTCTTTTTAGGCCAATTTTTTATATTATGAGGAAAAAAAAATGTTCAACATAGTCTTTCACTTGTCCTGGTATGACTCCATCTTGCAGACTGTGTATTCACCTAGAATATTTAAAAAAAAACAAAACAAAAAAAAACCACACACCAATAGCATCAAGTATTAATGGTGCTTACTTGCTACAAAAAACAAATATAGTGGAAACATTTCCACATCTCTTTAAGCCCCAAACTATAGCTTTAAAAAAAAATCTTAAAAAATGATCTTATGTAAAAGATTAAATAAAAGGCAGTTTTTCTTGGAAAGCTTAAACCTCTCCATTGCAGTCCCCATCCTGCCATTGGCTCTGTGCAGATGCAGAAGTCCCCCCACACTAATCTCATTTGCAGGACTGAGACCTTATAGAGCAATAGGTGCCTTACATCTAGTTGCATCCAAGGCAATTGGCACTGGCAGAGCTACACTTAAAAAAAAAAAAATGTATGTGTTATACTTCAACAATTTCATAATTTCCAGGGTGAGTAGCCAGAGGAAAAACTAATTCTCCTTGCCAGAGATAAAAGTAGTCAAAACTAAGTCCTACTATTGTAGTGCTTTCATTATACGCAGTACTTTGAGCCCAAGATTGCCCAATACTTCTCTAATTTCAGTTGCTTATAACTTTGGCACACTTTAAATGTTGAGACTGAAATTTTCCATGTCTGCCTCTCAAGCTGATTTTTTTGGGGGGTTGGAAAGTGGGGAGAGAGGATTTCAGCCATAACAGTTCAGCTGTTTTAAACAACAAAGTTGGGGAGGGGGGAAAATGCCCCCTTACTTAGAGCAGACCCTGAAATTTGGCAGGGTGTGGCCTTTGTGTTAGGGATGTGCTTTTTGCTGTCCTGAAAATTCTCCCAAATTGTAAGCCTGTGGGGGGAAAACATGCAGTGGAAAAAGTAGTATGTGATGAGGCAATTAAACACTTTAAAGATGAACATGTGAAAAATAGCACCACTTTACACCTACTGTAACCATGTGCTATAATAATGGAAGTTTACTTAACTGGTTTACTAATTTTGACTCAGTAAAGCAATGTGAAAAACTGTTAAGAATCTTAAGTGTTTATTAAAAAAAACCCACTGTCAGTGCATTACTAGGAAGTAGTAAAATACAAGATGATGCTGTTTGCCGGTCCTACTGGCTCTGCAGAAAGAGAGAGCTAATAAACACTATTTCTAGAGCTGTAATTTCATGGTGGTAATACCACCTGAATACCTGTTAAAGTCAGCCATGCTGAGGGGAAATGGATCAATATTTACCATGCAGGGACATCATTTGGACTCTTATATTTAAATGATGAGAGTAATTTGCAACACATAGGAAGCCTTGCCTAGAAAGTGTTCCTTACCGTAAGGATATTTTGTGTCTAGTTTACTCTGTGCTGTTCTCGTCCAGGGCAGCAAATCATCACTGCAACCGTTAGGCATCCCATTATATCCAATTCCAACAATCTTGTTTTCTGAATTCACAATACAAGCACCAACCTACATAAAACAGATATTTACTATCATTTATGGCTGTCACACGATTTAAAATAATAATAAATAATTGCAATTAATCGTGAGATTTAAAAAAAAGTCATGATTAATCACAGTTTTAATTGCACTGTTAAACTAATAGAATACCAAATTTAAATTATAAAATATTTTTGGATGTTTTCTACATTTTCAAATGTATCGATTTCAATTCCAACACAGGATACAATATTATTTTTGATTACAAATATTTACACTGTAAAAAAGAAATACTATTTTTCATCAAAAATAATATTGTATCCTGTGTCAGAATTGAAATCGATATATTTGAAAATGTAGAAAACATCCAAAAATATTTTATAATTTAAATTGGTATTCTATGATTGTTTAGCCATGTGATTAATACCACAATTCATTGACTTTTTTTAATCTAGTTAATTTGTTTTGCATTAATCGTTTACCTTAACTGCAATTAATTGACAACCCTACTATTATTTAATATACACAACAGGAGTATGCAAGCCACTTTACAGACAAGAAGAGACAAAATCCATAAAACTTACAATTGAAGGGCCCAGTCCTGCAAACCCTTAATCATGTAAGTTTGCAGGCAGAGAGCCTAAGGGACCGGTCCTAATCTGTTATTAATTGGCGTAGTTCTAGCAATTTAGGTCTGGTCTACACACAAATTTGCACCAAAATACTAGACACCTGTTTTAATTCTCACCTTTTATTATATCACTCCAACTGTGTGTACTGGACTTATTTTGGCATAAAAAAACTGTCTTCTTTTGATTAAGCCTAAATCACTAAATGTACAAATTAAAAACAATGTAGTTATTTCTATGCAAGTTAAATACAGATGAGCTCTTAGATAAGACCAGTTGGGGATTTGGCCCTAAAAAGAACACTTAAGCAGAGTAAGGAGGTCTAGGATACAACAAGCAGCAAGTAACTGAGTAGTGATGGTTAGTGGGCATCTTCTCATCTCTGTATTTTTGTTGGGTTTTCACTCTCCCATCTTCCCCCTTTTCTCTCAGCTGTTCTGTTAACAGCAGGTTGCAGAGAGGACTACAGAAGAAGGCAAAGGGTGGGAATACTAGTCAGGAGTCCTGTGCTGAGCAAAAAACCCACGCAACCCAAGAGTAAAATAAGTTGCAGTGCCTCGAAGGGGAGGAGAAGAAACTTCAATTAGATATGGATCTAGCCATCTAAGATCAAATTTTGCTTGTCAAATTATCTCAAAACTGTCTGCACTTAGTCCCATTTCCCCCCCCCCTTTCCTTTCCTTAACTTGTGCAAACCCTACAAAGAAGGCCTTGCATTGGGAGAAAAACTGTATGTTGCCAATACCACTGCTAGCTCTTATTCTGTCTGCACCTGTGAGAGCCCTGGCAGACAGGCATCCTGACCCTGAAGGCTTCCACCCAAGCCCCAGTCTTGACTTGCTGGATATCTGACTTGCACGTGCCTGCTATTGAAACCCAGGCTCAGGAGCCATCCAGTGTGAGAGGTCTCTGTTGACGGAATCCCCCAGAAGAAGGTAAGAGAGCTGCAGGAGGGGCTGACTCTTCTGCCTAGCATCTGGGAGTACGATGACTTCATTGACAGAATGCAAGTGGAAACATCTGGGACAGAGGAGGTGAGTGGACTATAGTGGCACCAGAATAGGAAGGAGAACAGGCTACTCTACAGGAAAGAGATTGGCTGCTGGTCACCTCAGACAGTACTCCATCCCCACCCAGGTCCCTGATCCATCTTGGTCAAGAACTGGTATGCAATACCTGCAACAGGTGGTGAGGACCAGATCCAAATGGCTGAGGAGGAAATGTCACCTGTCCGTCAAGCAGGGAGGCTCACAGACACAGAGCCAAGAGGAGGCAGCTTAAAATGATGGTTGTCAGGGACTCCCTTCTGAGAGGAACGGGGGAAAACCATCTGCCAACCTGACATGATGTCCCAGTTGTGCTGTCTGCCTGGAGACCGCATCCGAGAAATACAGAAAGGTTTCTGAGGTTCTTCTTACCATTGCCACATGCTGATGATTCATGTGGGCACTAATGATACTGCCAGTTATGACCTGAGCAGATCAGCAGTGACTACTGTGGGCTCTGGGAGTGAGGGGCATGTGTTGTCATCCATGCTCCCAGTTGAGACTAAGGATCCAGGCAGGGACACACAAATTCTGGAGATTAATCCATTGCTGTGTAGATGGTATCAACAGGAGGGCTTTGGCTTCCTCAACCACATGATGATCAAGTACATAGGCCAAATTTAGGCTGCTAGGAAAGAGATTGAAATCCAGAACCTCTATGGTAGCATTCTCAGAAATGCTTCCAGTTCCAAGCGCAGGGCCAGGTAGGCAGGCAGAGCTTCAGAGTCTCAATGCATGGATGAGACGATGGTGTAGAGAGGAGGGGTTTAAATTTATTAGGAACTGGGGAAACTTTTGGGATGGGGGAGCCTATACAGGAAGGATGGGCTCCACCTAAACCAAAGTGGGTCCAGACTGCTGGCACTTAGTTTAAAAACTGCTCTGCAAGCTTTTTAATGTTAAGAGATGGGGGAAAGCCGATTGCTGCAGAGGAGCATGTGGATCGGACAGAGAATTCTCTTAGAGGAGAGCCTACTGATAGAGATTCTCTAGGTTTTAGTCAGGAAGAGAGGATGGAAGAGGATAAAGTATGGGCCAGATCAGACAAGAAACATTCACATAAAAAAGAATCTGACATCAGAAATGGGCAGAGAAATAAACAGTGACAAGTTTTTAAAGTGCTTGTACACAAATGCTAGAAGTCTAAATAATAAGATGGGTGAACTAGAGTGCCTCGTGTTAAAGGAAGATATTGATATAATAGGCATCACAGAAACCTGGTGGAGTGGGGACAATCAATGGGACACAATCATTCCGTGGTACAAAATACATCGGAAAGACAGAACAGGTTGTGTGGGGGGAGTGGCACTATATGAGAAAGAAAACGTAGAATCAAATGAAGTAAAAATCTTAAATGAACCCACATGTTCCATAGAATCTCTACGGATATTAATTCCATGCTCTAATAAGAATATAACAGTAGGGATCTATTATCGACCACCTGACCAGGACAGCGATAGTGGCGATGAAATGCTAAGGGAGATTAGAGAAGCTAACAAAATAAAGAACTCAATAATAGTGGGGGATTTCAATTATCCCTATACTGACTGGGTACATGTCACCTCGGGACGAAATGCACAGACAAAATTTCTCGATACTTTAAATGACTGCTTCTTGGAGCAGATGGGACAGGAACCCACAAGGGGAAAGGCAATTCTTGATTTAGTCCTGAGTGGAGCGCAGGATCTGGTCCAAGAGGTAACTATAACAGGACCGCTTGGAAATAGTGACCATAATATAACAGCATTTAATATTCCTATGGTGGGAAAAACACCTCAACAGCCCAACACTGTGGCATTTAATTTCAGAAAGGGGAACTATGCAAAAATGAGGAGGTTAGTTAAACAGAAATTAAAAGATACAGTGACTAGAGTGAAATCCCTGTAAGCTGCATGGACACTTATCAAAGACACCATAATAGAGGCCCAACTTAAAATGTATACCCCAAATTAAAAAACACAGTAAAAGTACTAAAAAAGAGCCACCGTGGCTTAACAACCATGTTAAAGAAGCAGTGAGAGATAAAAAGGCATCTTTTAAAAAGTGGAAGTCAAATCCTAGTGAGGAAATAGAAAAGAGCATAAACACTGCCAATTAAATGTAAAAATGTAATAAGAAAAGCCAAAAAGGAGTTTGAAGAACTGTTAGCCAAAAACTCAAAAGGTAATAACAAAATGTTTAAGTACTTCAGAAGCAGGAAGCCTGCTAAACAACCAGTGGGGCCCCTGGACGATCAAGATACAAAAGGAGCACTTGGAGATGATAAAGTCATTGTGGAGAAACTAAATGAATTCTTTGCTTCAGTCTTCACAGCTGAGGATGTTAGTAGAGTGACCAGACAGCAAGTGTGAAAAAAAAATTGGGACGGGGGGGGGTAATAGGCACCTATATAATTGAGTCCCAAATATCAGGACTGTCCCTATAAAATTGGGACATCTGGTCACCCTAGATGTTAGGGAGATTCCCAAACCTGAGCCATCCTTTGTAGGTGACAAATCTGAGGAATCGTCACAGACTGAAGTGTCACTAGAGGAGGTTTTGGAATTAATTGATAAACTTAACAGTAACAAGTCACCAGGACCAGATGGCATTCACCCAAGAGTTCTGAAAGAACTCAAATGTGAAATTGCGGAACTATTAACTATGATTTGCAACCTGTCCTTTAAATCAGCTTCTGTACCCAATGACTGGAAGATAGCTAATGTAATGCCAATATTTTAAAAGGGCTCTAGAGGTGATCCCAGCAGTTACAGACCGGTAAGTCAGCACCAGGCAAATTAGTTGAAACAATAGTAAAGAATAAAATTGTCAGATACATAGAAGAACGTAAATTGTTGGGCAAAAGTCAACATGGTTTCTGTAAAGCAAAATCCTGTCTTACTAGTCTATTAGAGTTCTTTGAAGGGGTCAACAAACATGTGGACAAGGGGGATCCAGTGGACATTGTATACTTAGATTTCCAGAAAGCCTTTGATAAGGTCCTCACCAAAGGCTCTTACGTAAATTAAGTTGTCATGGGATAAGAGGGAAGATCCTTTCATGGACTGAGAACTAGTTAAAAGACCGGGAACAAAGGGTAGAATAAATGGTAGATTTTCAGAATGGAGAGGGGTAACTAGTGGTGTTCCCCAAGGGTCAGTCCTAGGACCAATCCTATTCAACTTATTCATAAATGATCTGCAGAAAGGGGCAAAAAGTGAGGTGGCAAAGTTTGCAGATGATACTAAACTGCTCAAGATAGTTAAGACCAAAGCAGACTGTGAAAAACTTCAAAAAGATCTCACAAAACTAAGTGATTGGGCAACAAAATGGCAAATGAAATTTAATGTGGATAAATGTAAAGTAATGCACAT